TCACTGAGTTCGTGCTAGATCGCCTAGTTTGCACAGATTTGTACGAAATATCGTCGAGCTCGCGCAATATTGGCGGTGACCTGGCGGCGACGACTAAGAACAGAGTCCCCCCACGCGCCAAGCTAGCGTCGGTTCGCCCCCAGACGGCTTTTTTTCGGCGCCCTGGGGGGCCGAACGGCTGGAGATGCTCTTACACACATTTGATCCAACTCGGTCAGACCGAATAGATGAACTCAGTGAGACTGATTCAGCTCAAAATGTGAACATTATGATTCTCGTGGGACCGACATGATCAACTCGGTGGGATCGATGTGCTAGGGTTAAGGCAAAACCTCATCTCGGTTTGATCAATTACATAAACTCGGTGAGGCCGATTTCAGTAATAAGCCAACAGAGAGTTGGTCAGGCAAACTTGGTGGGACCGATTGCATATTTCGGTGAGACTGAAATAATTCCAACAGGCAACAAAGAGTTTGCAAGGCCATCTCAGTGAGACCGAGATCCTATCATGAGACCGAATTGATTAGGGTTTCTAGCAGTGGCTATGTCAAGTGAACTCGGTGGCGCCAAATGAATTAAATTGGTGGGGACAAGTTTGACTTTAGGTTTAGGACATATTTGGAATTGAGAAAGCAGTTGAGGTCTTTGGAGAATATCACTAAGCATTTTGAGCAAGTGGACCATTAAGCAACACCTCATCCCCTTTTAATAGTATTGAATTTTCCTATGGACTCAATGTGATCTTGGATCACTAAAATAGAAATGAAGAGTCTTGAGCTTTTGCCAATGTTTGTCCTTAGCATCTTGAAGGGGTTCCACATCCTCTTGTCCATGCCACACCTTTGTTGAACTTTCTGAAATATACTAGATGGAAGTATTAGTCCAACAATAGATATGTTGACATTAATTACCAAAATCACCTAGGGAGCACTTGTGATTTCATGGGCAGCTACAACTCTTTCATCTGAAGTTTGGCACGATAACACTGCTGCCAAAGAAAAAGGAAGCAATACGCATTGAGCAATTCAGACCCATGTGTCTTTTGAATGCGAGCTTCAAGATCTTTACGAAAGTGGCCACAAATAGATTGACACGGATTGCCCATTCGGTAGTGCAACCTAGTCAGACTGCATTTATGCCTGGAAGACACATCCTAGAAGGGGTTGTTGTCTTACACGAAACATTACACGAGATCCATTCGAAAAAACAGGATGGGGTGATTTTCAAAGTGGATTTTGAGAAGGCATGTGACAAGGTCAAATGGCCATTTCTACAGCAAGCCATGCGCATGAAGGGTTTCAATGGGGCATGGAGGGATCGGGTGGATTCGTTTGTCCAGAAAGGTAGTGTCGGGGTAAAGGTGAACGATGACATTGGTCATTATTTTCAAACGCATAAGGGCCTACGACAAGGAGACCCGATGTCTCTGATTCTGTTCAACATTGTGTTAGACATGTTGATAGTTCTCATAGGTCGGACCAAGGAGAAAGGCCTGGTAGATGGTCTTGTTCCCCATTTGGTGGATGGGGGCGTCTCTATTCTACAATATGCGGATGACACTATTATCTTCATGGAGCATGACCTTGCAAAGGCGAGGAATATGAAGCTTGTGTTGTGCCTGTTTGAACAATTATCTTGTCTAAAGATCAATTTCCGCAAGAGTGAATTGTTTTGCTTTGGTAGGGCCAAAGAAGACCAAGATATTTATAGGCAATTGTTCGGTTGTGAACTGGGGTCATTACCGTTCAGTTATCTAGGAATTCCAATTCATCATAGGAAATTAACTAATAAGGAGTGGAAATGTATCGAGTATCGATTCGGGAAGAAATTGAGCTGCTGGAAGGGTAAGCTTATGTCTTATGAAGGACGGCTAGTATGGATAAATTCAGTACTCACGAATATGCCAATGTTCCTTCTCTCTTTCTTTGAGGTGCCTAAAGGGGTACGAAGGAGGCTGGACCTCTATCGATCTCGTTTTTTCTGGCAGTCCGACAAGGTTAAGACAAAATATCACTTGGCAAGATGGGATATTATTTGTCGACCAAAGGACCAGGGGGTCTTGGGATCGAGAACCTTGAGATTAAAAATAAATGTCTTTTGAGCAAGTGGCTATTTAGACTATCACAGGAACCAAGGGGTATGTGGGTACAACTCCTTAGAGATAAATACTTGCACTCTAAAACTCTTGCTCAAGTTACCGTAAGACCTAATGATTCGCCATTTTGGAAGGGACTCATGAGAGTGAAAGAGACCTTCTTCCATAGGGTGAAATTCGTTGTTTGGGACGAAACAACAACAAGATTTTGAGAGGATACTTGGTTAGGAGACGCACCACTAGCTCACCAGTACCCTTCCCTGTACCATATTGCTCAACTTAAGGAGGATTATGTGGCAGCAGTCATGCAGACGGTACCTTTGAATATCCAGTTCAGGGGGTCTCTAGTAGGGGAGCGATGGAACTCCTGGTTGCACTTAGTGCGGAGGTTGATGGACGTACAACTCTCTGATCAGGGAGACGCCTTGAAATGGTAGCTAACGGGTAATGGAGTGTTTTCAGTCAAATCAATGTACTTAGACCTTATTGATTCTGGCCCAATTCCAAGATCGATACACATTTGGAAAGTTAAGGTTCCTTGCGAATCAAGATTTTTATGTGGTTTGTGCACAAGCGAGTGATCTTTACCAAAGATAACTTACTAAAGCGAAGATGGGTAGGTAGTTCACGATGGTGCTTTTGTGTTCATGACGAAAAAATTCAACACTTATTTATTGATTGCCTTCTCGTGAAGTTACTTTGGAGGTCCATTCATATAGCTTTTAATATTGTCCTTCCAGTTAGTATTGATGTGTTGTTTGGGACATGGCTAAATGGAGTGACTCCTGAGATTGCGTCAAGTATTCGGATTGGAATATGTGCACTTCTTTGGGCTATATGGAACTGTAGGAACGATATGATTTTTAACATGATTAACTTCTTGCAGGTTATCTTCAGAGCTACGGGATAGATCCGTACGTGGTTGCTACTCACTCCTACGGGCTCCAGGGCGCATTTGGCTACTGGGTGCAACCGATGAGAGATGGTCGCACGGGCTATATTCAACCGGTTTAGATAGCGTTCGCATAATAGGATAGGTCCTTAATGTACTTTTGTCATGCCGGTTATGGCTTTGAGTTGCTTTACGTATTTTTTTGTGCTTCTTTTGTGAGATGTACTCTGCAGACTGGACTATTTATTTTGCTGAACTTGATTTAATAAAGTGACCGTATGCATCTTTTCGATGCAGATGCTGGGAGATGTCCTCCTTTTCAAAAAAAGTACTTACAAACACCCAAGAATATGAACAGTAGCTGCGGTTAAGAATGGTTGTTGTGAACTTGGGAAGCTTTTTTTTTGTGAGAACCAGATTAGGATTATAAATACAATGCAGCAAATGGAACAGAACGTAGAGGCATTTCAAGGAAAATTAGCATTATTTATCAGTCATTGACGTTCAGGTAATTATTTGTACCACTATCAAATTATACACTGGATAGCAACTCAGTCAATTTTGATCACAAGGCAAATCAATCACTGGCTTTGATAGAGAAAAACTGTGTTGCTGATCGCATAGCAACTTGGTTCCAACTCTGAATGAGCTACTCTGTTCCAAGATGCTCGGAGCCACGCACGGACGAAGCGTCGCTGTGAGACAGGCAGTAGGTACTACGTCTTCTGAGAAGCTCTCGCTGTACTACTATGACTGAGAACGAGGTTTTCACTCGTCTGGTCCGCCGCGGCATGGACCGATTCGCAGTGCCGTGGGTTCTCCGTAACACGTCCTGTCCACACAGTACACCTGTGTTCAGTACTCGCAGAGACCTGGGATGATGTCTCATGCGAGCCGGAAGCACCGCCGCACATATTGTCGTTAGATATTCTCTGTATTTCTAACAAAAAAATGTATTTTCGTTGCGACCATGGACGGACGCGTTCAGTCAAGGTCGCCCCAGTTCACTGGATTGGGCGTGCATGTCGGGGCGGTCCCTTTCATCAGGTTGTTCTCGTAGGTTGGAAATTTCTCAGAAATAATCTTCTCCATGGAGAAAAGCGACAAGGGATCTTATCTTAGAAGTAATGACCGAAGCAACGCATCAGGTCTTCACGACTTCAGGATCGCGACGGACAGCTGAGTTACTATTTTTTGAAGTTTTTTTTTTGAAGCTGCGGCTGAATTACTAAGATACTCATAAGGACAACTCTAACTGATCTCCTATAATCAGTTAGATAAGTAAAAATTCACTTTTACTGCTCTAATCAATGCATAGCCGATCCCCAATCAATGTTAGTGGAGAATAAATTATCCTTAGTCGTGCTCCACCTTCTTATAATCCTCCATCGCTCAGGCTTGAAAAAAAAATTCCTCCCCTCCGCGGCCTCCCCTATCCCACTCTCACGCCGCATGGCGCCCTCACCGCGCCCACCCCACGCCTGCCACTGCCCGCCATGACGGACGTTCCCTAGCCTCCGCCACGGTCCTTAACCCCTGGATTTGAGCCTCTCTCGCCCCATCCACGGCGCAAATCGAGATATCTGCAGCTGCCGCCGCCGCCGGATTTGATGCATCCGGCCATTGGCGACTACGCGTTTGCAAAGTATTAATGCATGTCATAAAAAATTAATTGTTAGATTTGTATGCAAATGTAATTTCAAATGATATTATTTTTGTAATTAGTTAAAATCATGATCAAATATAATCTAAAACACGAGGAGGCTAGTAAATTAGGACAGATATAGTATTACGTATAAATATATAAATTTTGGCTCAAAATATGAGAGTGTAATAAACCCGGATGGAGAGAGTGCCCTATTATTTAAATCTAATAACTACAAGTCAAGTAGTTGTCAACGTCCAGTTGGCCATTCACGAGAACTATTAGCTAGCATCTATTTATAGCGCACAGTGGCACTATCGTCAGGTCGGAGCTCAGCAGCACACACCCACGCCTACCCGTTCACCGCAATGATAAAGCTGGGGTATTCTCGGGTTCTTGTTTCTTGCCATGCTCTTCTCTGCCTTTCGGCGATTTGGGTGCTGGCCGCGGCCGATGTACCGGCGGGCCAGCGTCCCGGCTGCCGGACGAAGTGCGGCGACGTCGACATTCCATTCCCGTTCGGCATCGGCGAGGATTGCGCGTTCAATTTCAACCCCGGTGTTGATACCAGCGACACTGGCTTAGATATCAGCGGCTTTAATATCAACTGCATGACCAACGCCGGTGGCATCGAGAAGCCTTTTGTAAGTGCTCCATTGTCGGGTGATATGATCGAGGTGACTAATATCTCTTTGCCTGACGGCAAGGCCTGGATGAACGCCACGACGATCTCATCTCAGTGCTATGACCCATCCACTGGCAATATTACCGAGCAAAATGGAGAGGTGGACTTCAACTTAACACCTTTCTGGATATCAGAAGTGGACAACGCAATCATCGTCATCGGGTGCTATACTCTCGGTTATACGCGGAGCTCTTCTGTAAGCACTTCGGCTTCTTTGTTATACTTATTTGATAAAGGTGAAAATGCTTCGAGCTTTAGTTTCAATTAACTTCCGGGGAGTAAAACCTGCCCGGAACAACTATTTTTGTTCAAGTACATATCCCTTGTTTTTTAGCCAAAGTACATATCCCTTGTTTCATAACCGATGATGATAATTCCGTTGTATGCTAACATACCAAACCGCTGAACTTTTTACGCGATGTTTTATTAGATACTCACTAGTTTACTACCTCACCCGCTTGGCCGCTTGTATATATACGGAAAAAGTTCTTATACGACCCTGGTCGTACGCTCGCCAGCGTGAGACCTCTCCAGCGCCTGAAACCTGGAGAAACGACGTGGTTCGTGAACCCTGTTTCTATTCCTGACTACAGAATCCCTTTTTCATTCGCCGGCGCCCACGCTCGCCCATCGTCGTAGCCGCCGCCGCCACTGCAACTCCTTGATCGCTCTGTCCCGGAAGCACAGGAGCCCCTTCCTCGGCGCCCCGGCAGATCGGCCGTGGAAGCACTAACAATATAGAGGGAAACACACCGTCACGAGAAGCTTGGCTTCAGCCAAGGGGTGCGTACAGCCTGCCTAGTGAGCCGCCGGCGGTGCCACAAGTGGCGGCGTCCAGGAGCATCGCGGTGGCCCGCGGGGACAAGCACACTGGCGGTGAGGAGAGACCGAAGTGGATAATATTCGTGATTTGAGAACAGGGAGATGGAGAACGAGATGGCTGCTGCTTTAGGATTTGTAATAATCGCCAGGTGTCGCGTGCGGAGAAGGGTCTCACAATCGGCTTTGAGTGGCCTCGTCGTATAGTTAATAACTAACAAAAAATACCCGTGTGTTGCAACGGAAAAAAAATCTGACCTCAAAAGAACAATGATATGTAGAGGAGGGCCGTCGGGAGTGGGCGCGCGTCGACCACCTCGCAGTCGCCGGTGATCTGGAGGCCCGCCAGCAGAGATCACCCCGTCCATTTTCTATCAGGCGATGGAGGTGTTGAGAAAGAGGAAGCCCATGTCGCCGGAGGACGGTCTGATCCCCACGACGACCAGAAGGCCCGGACCAGCGTCGCCGTCTGAGTTCGGCCTCCTCCTCCTCATGGTGGGTTGGGGGCGATGACTGAACTGGATTGGGGTAGGCGGAGACCGGGCGTTGCGTCCGTCCGGTCCTGCAACGAGTGTTTTTTAGTGTACTGATAACTTATATCTGGAGTGCAGATTAATTGGCCAAAAATACAGGAACTTTCTTGCAAAACCCCACGAGCGGGAAACAATAGCCGCCTTATTATTAGGTAAAGATAAAAATTACGAGATACACTAAAGAAACTACATATAGGAGCCCACACTATATATTATTTCATATACTATCTCTTAAGGAAATCTCCAATGCTGACCCGCAAACCTCCCGCATGTGTCCGGACTGTGCTGCCCGGACAGCAGAAGCCATCCAACGCTATATATAATGCTATATATTTTGGGTGGTCAACTGGAAATACATAATGCTATATATGTGGTATTTTAAATTTCCACATAACTTGTTGGCAATCTCTGAAGCTACCTATAGCATAGAGGAATTTTTTTTCTTTTCCACTTTTAGTTTTAGGAAAGATTATCTTGATTATTTTGATTTTGAAGAGACATTTCGCTTCAAATATTGTGAATTGACATGCAGCACATATAGTATTAAAAACCAGGATTCCTTTTATCAAAAAATGGCCTGTACTGTAAGTTTTGTTCAAGACATCTCATATACACTTTCTTCGTTCAGTATGTAACAGGCTGCGCGTCCTGGTGTAATAATAAGTACTATGACACGACCCTGAAGAATGACACATGCAATGGTTACGGCTGCTGTCAAGCAGATGTCCCCAAAGACGTACTGAATTATTATGGCTATTTCAACGAAGACTATAACACCTCAGAAACATCGAAAGACGGCAGTCCTTGCAGCTACGTGGCACTCATAGCAAAGGCGGCTTTCAGTTTCAAAACCAGCTATCTCAACTCCACAGTATTCAATGATACATACAAGGCTGGAGTTCCTATTGTCCTGAACTGGCAAATAGAATCGTTGAGTTGCGAGCAAGCTAAGAAGAACAGTTCCTACGCCTGTGTTAGCAGCAACAGTGTGTGCGTGAACTCCACCACCAACGCGCCAGGTTACCGCTGCAATTGCTCCGATGGGTACAAAGGCAACCCATACATCACCAACGGATGCCAAGGTGACTTTCCTTTTGCTGCCTTGTACATTTGACATGAACTATCGTGTATCTTGTTAATTCATGAGTCACCTGTACGCACACCTTGGCAACTTGAACTAAAAACAAATTTTCTCTTTCAGATATTGATGAGTGCCTTGAAAATGCTACTCTCTGTGGCTCTGGAATCTGCGAGAACACGTTAGGGCATTACAGTTGTTCATGCCACCCAGGAGATTATATGACGAATGACGGTTGTGTGCAAAAGCATTTCCTTTTTCCGGCGATGCCTGTTGTAGGTAAGTTACATCTCATGTAGACAGTTGATTGGACGCGCATGAAAACAATATGAAGTTTGTACTAACATGATAGTCCGGTATATATGAGTATATATTTTCTGGATTTAAGCAATTCCTATTTGGCCAAATTTCTACTCCTGGTAGCAAATGTGGTCATTCTTTTACCAGCACATCAAACCTTGAAAAGTTTGACCATCACTTTCTACAAACATTGATAACATAAACTTCATGCTAGATGCATTATCAAATATACGTTTATAAGGGTATGAATTTTTAATAGAATATATTTTTGTAGAAACTGATGATCAAATATTGCATTGGATGATCGCAAAAAAATAACTTTTGCATTGGAGATTGTGTCTATGTTCAAAAATCAAAAGGATATAGTACATGTGTCATTGGTAGGCGTAGTTGTTCTTTTTTCCTTTTTCTTCAACCCAACACTTTTAAGTGGTCATTACTCATATGGAAACTAATTTGTTATGAACAAATACCTGATGCAGGTGCAAGTGTAGGACTTGTCGTTTTTGTGGTTGTTGTATCATGTGTCTGCTTGATCCAAGAGAGAAAACTACAAAACATGAAAAACGAATACTTCCGTCGACACGGTGGTCTGATATTATTTGATGAGATGAGGTCAACGCAAGGTATTACATTCAAAATATTCTCGGAAGAAGAATTGCAGCAAGCCACAAACAGGTTCGCCGAACAACAAGTACTGGGTCAAGGGGGCTATGGGACCGTGTACAAAGGGTTTCTTAAGGGCAATGTGGAAGTAGCAGTGAAAAGATGCAAGACTATCGATGAGCAACAAAAGAAAGAATTCGGTAAAGAGATGCTAATCTTGTCCCAGGTCAACCATAGAAACATTGTGAAGCTCCTCGGGTGTTGCCTCGAAGTGGAAGTCCCTATGCTGGTATACGAGTTTGTCCCAAACGGCACCCTCTTCCAGCTCATACACGGTGACCATGGCATGCGTATCTCCTTGGCTACTCGCTTGGGGATCGCTCACGAGTCCGCCGACGCTCTCGCCTACCTTCACTCATCAACTTCGACACCGATCCTCCACGGTGATGTCAAGTCCTCCAACATTCTTCTTGACATGGACTACCAAGCTAAAGTTTCTGACTTTGGTGCCTCCATCTTGGCACCAATTGATAAGTCTCAATTCATCACACTGGTACATGGAACATGTGGGTACCTCGACCCGGAGTACATGCAAACCAACCTGCTAACGGACAAGAGCGACGTGTACAGCTTTGGGGTTGTTTTGTTGGAGCTACTCACGGCCAAATTGCCATTTAATTTCAATCCGGATGTCCCTGCCCACGAGAAGAGCCTATCGATGATGTTTATGTATGCCATGAAGGAGAATAAGCTCGACCAGATCTTGGATGTTGAGATCAAGGATGGGGATAACACAGAGATTCTTGAAGAGATCGCAGAGCTAGCGATGCGTTGCTTAGAGATGTGTGGTGACAATAGGCCATCGATGAAAGAAGTTGCGGAGAAGCTTGATAGTTTGAGGAAGGTGATGCAACATCCATGGGTGCATCGGAACCCTGAAGAGATGGAATGCCTACTTGGGGAGCCCTCGTCAATGGTCAGCTCAACAATAACAAGTACTGAATATTTCAGCATCGAGAAGGAAGCTGTTAATAGTCAGCAGTCAGGTCGTTAAGTAATCACACCATCGCTTTGCTTTGTTTATTTTGTATTCGAAAGCAAGAAATCAGTAGCCTCAAAAATAGAATAAACAATCAATTGTTATAGGTACCTTTATGTCACTGTTCATTTTGCCAGTTATACATTTACAAGTTTGGGTGTTTATATGGTTATGTATCTTCTGAAAAAAAATGCAGATATATGTGAGTTATTATTTCGTCAATTTTGCATAGTTCGCTTTTCAAATTTGATTTGGTGTGGTAAATGCTTGATACGTCGTCTAAATCTTTGTATTATATTACCAGTCTTTCGCGAAAAAAGCAACACTGTTCAAAAACATGTGTTTTGAAAAAAGTTAAGCATATATATGGAAAATGTAAAACGTATACAAGGTAAATGTTTCAGTTGTATATGAAAAATGTACAAATGTGTATGGCACAAAGCAGACATCGAAGCATGTATTTAAAAAAAATTAATCATTGTTTTTAAAAAATGTCAAACATGTAAAAAATGTACTTGATGTATATAGAAATTGTAAACATCAAAACACACATTTAAAAATGTTAATCAGTATGAGCGCTGAGGATGGACGGATGCATGGATACATGAAGTACGCCGGATGCATAGGATATGTTGCCATTTTTAAAATGTTGAACATGTATAAAAATAATGTTTCATATGAATACAAAAAATGTACAAGATGTATGAGAAGAAAATAGACATCAGAACGTATATAATAAAAGAATAGACGTAAAAATATATATGTTTTCAAATATTTTAACCATGAATAGGGAAAATGTTAAATTTCTATATAGAAAATGTTCCTGATGTATCAAAAAATGTTTAATGTGTACGGGAAAAACATGTGTTGAACAAAAAAAGAAACCGATGAAAATTGACAAAAAAACACATGAATACGAAGAGAACCAGTAAAAACCAAAAGAGAAAAACAAATAAAACCAAAATTAAAATATAACCCAAAGAAAACCAATGCAAAAATGTTAAATGTGTATAGAAAAAATGTTGACCATGTATCAGAAAAATATTAATCTTTTATTTGAAATCTTTTACTCAAGCAATTGAAAATGATAATGTCTATAGAAAAAAATTGACCATGTATTAAAAAATGTCAATCTTATATTTGAAAAATGTTAATCAGCCATTTGAAAAATGTTAAAAGTGTATATAGAAAAAAATTGACCATGTATTCAAGAAATGTTAAACTTATTTGGAAAAATGTTAAACATGTACTCCCTCCGTCCCAAAATAAGTGTCTTGAGCTTACTACAAATTTGTACTAGAGCTAGTACAAAATTGAGACATTTATTTTGGGACGGGTGGAGTATTAGAGAAATGCTCTTGATATATATGAAAAATGCAGAATAAAAACCAAAAGAAACAAAAAAGCCAAAAACGAAACAAAGGAAACCAAATAAAAAAGGAACATGAAAAACAAAACAGAAAAAATAAGTGCAAAAGAATGGAGAAAAATGAATACCGGCGGGAGTACATCTTCTGAGAAGCTCTCGCTGTACTACTACGACTGAGAACGAGGTTTCCACTCGTCTGGTCCGCCGTGATTGCAGCTCGCCGGGAGAATACCGGCGGGATGGACCGATTCGCACTGCCATGGGTTCTCCGTGACACGTCCTGTCCACACAGTACACCTGTGTTTAGTACTCGCAGAGACCTGGGATGCTGTCTCATGCGAGCCGGAAGCACCGCCGCACGTAGTGTCGTTAGATATTCTCTGTATTTTTCTAACAAAAAAATGTATTTTCGTTGCGACCATGGACGGACGCGTTGAGTCAAGGTCGCCCCAGTTCACTGGATTGGACGTGCATGTCGGGGCGGTCCTTTTCATCGGGTTGTTCTCGTAGGTTGGAAATTTCTCAGAAATAATCTTCTCCATGGAGAAAAGCGACAAGGGATCTTATCTTAGAAGTAACGACCGAAGCAACGCATCAGGTCTTCACGACTTCAGGATCGCGACGGACAGCTGAGTTACTATTTTTTGAAGTTTTTTTTTTAAGCTGCGGCTGAATTACTAAGATACTCATAAGGACAACTCTAACTGATCTCCTATAATCAGTTAGATAAGTAAAATTTCACTTTTACTGCTCTAATCAATGCATAGCCGATCCCCAATCGATGTTAGTGGAGAATAAATTATCCTTAGTCGTGCTCCACCTTCTTATAATCCTCCATCGCTTGGGCTTGGAGAAAAAATTTCCTTCCCTCCGCGGCCTCCCCCATCCCACTCTCACGCCGCATCTATGCTGGCGCCCTCACCCCGCCCTCGCCACGCCTGCCACTGCCCGCCATGGGGGACGTTCCCTAGGCTCCGCCACGGTCCTTAACCCCTGGATTTGAGCCCCTCTCGCTCCATCCACGGCGCAAATCGAGATATCTGCAGCTGCCGCCACCGCCGGATTTGATGCATCCGGCCACTGGCGACTACGCGTTTGCAAAGTATTAATGCAAGTCATAAAAAATTAACTGTTAGATTTGTATTCAAATGTAATTTCAAATGATATTATTTTTGTAATTAGTTAAAATCATGATCAAATATAATCTAAAATACGAGGAGGCTAGTAAATTAGGACAGATGTAGTATTACGTATAAATATACAAATTTTGGCTCAAAATATGAGAGTGTAATAAACCCGGATGGAGAGAGTGCCCTATTATTTAAATCTAATAACTACAAGTCAAGTAGTAGTCAACCTCCAGTTGGCCATTCACGAGAACTATTAGCTAGCATCTATTTATAGCGCACAGTGGCACTATCGTCAGGTCGGAGCTCAGCAGCACACACCCACGCCTACCCGTTCACCGCAATGATAAAGCTGGGGTATTCTCGTGTTCTTCTTTCTTGCCATGCTCTTATCTGCCTTTCGGCGATTTGGGTGATGGCCACGGCCGATGTACCGGCGGGCCAGCGTCCCGGCTGCCGGACGAAGTGCGGCGACGTCGACATTCCGTTCCCGTTCGGCATCGGCGAGGAGTGCGCGTTCAAGTTCAACCCCGGTTTTGATACCAGCGGCACTGGGTTAGATATCAGCGGCTTTAATATCAACTGCACGACCATCGCTGGTGTCGAGAAGCCTTTTGTAAGTGCTCCATTGTCGGGTGATATGATCGAGGTGACTAATATCTCTTTGCCTGACGGCAAGGCCTGGATGAACGCCAAGACGATCTCGTCGCAGTGCAATGACACAGCCACTGGTGATATGACTTACCAATATGGATACCTGGACTTCACGGATACACCTTTCTGGATATCGGACGATAACATAATTACCGTCGTCGGGTGCAATGCTACAGCTTATACAAGCAGCTCTCGTGTAAGTATTTCTGCTTCTTTTATTATACTGTTTTTTTCTTTTCGAATTGATCGAGGTGAAATTGTTTTGAATATTAGGTTTTGATTCTATTAACTTCCAGGCGGTAAAAACCTGCCCGGAACAACAATTTTTAGTTCAATACATACTCAATCTACATATCTTACAAACCCCACAATAAGTCATTAATTGCTTTTTTTTTCTGCACATGCGCGCTTTCACATCTTCCAAATTGTTTTAGCCATTGAATTTGCTAGTAGCTTGGTCAGCTAACGTCTGTCTGATTTGAACATAAGAGTCTCTCTATCATGCAACATGCATAGTGGACCTTTAATGGCACCAATTTCATTCATGACATGTTCAACTTTTTTTTCTGTTTGGTTCCAGGGACTTTTTTGTGTTGAGACTAGAAAAAGTCTCTAGCAAACCAAACAGGGTGGGACTTTTTTAGAACTTTTTGCTAAAAATCCTTAAAAGCACCTCCTTAAGAGTCTTTTTCAAAAAATCCTAGGGACTAGAAAAAGTCTTAGAACTAGAGAACCAAACACCACATAATTCTTTAAGGAAGAATCTATATTGTATACGATACAAAAAAAATCAAATCTCGAATACCCCGGCAAAGCGCGGGGTATCGCCTAGTATTACTGACAACCAAGCAAATAACATGCTAACAATACACAGATTTTTTTTATACCGAATTGATCCAGGTCAGTCACAAAAAAAAAATTGATCCAGGTGAAATTGTTTCAAAAACAAGTTTTTGATTTTATTAACTTTTTTTTCTAGAGTACGCCAAGATGTATCATAGCTTTATAGAAGACATAATGTTAATTACAAAAAAGCTAGCACTTGATGCGAACAACTAGCGTAGCACACACTCCACACCCTAGTAAGACCAAAGACGGCCACCACGGCAAAGCAAGCTACAAACAAAAGCACCTATCCTAAGTTGAAACACATGACCATGTCATGACCGACACCAGACCCTCCGAAGGCCAAACTTCCGCGGAGCTTCTCTTGTCGACGCACCACCCACTCTAAATGCCTAAGAGGAAGAGGCAAGTGGATGGCAGGACTCGATCTGATCCGAGGGAGGCACCATCTTAGACACATCGGTGATGGGCAAACATAGCGCCGCCGAGGATCAAAAAGGACCGCAGCGAGCACCGGAAAAGAACAACAAGGAAGCATCCATGCCTCCAAACACACCAAGCTGCCAACGGAGGAACGACGTCTAGGACGCTGTCATTGTGCCGATCCAACTCCGAATCGAGGCTTTCGCCCGGAGATAATCACCAACTCCAAAAGAGCAAGGGAAATGATGAACATGCCTTAGAGCATCTACAGCCGCACGCCTCAAATCATCCCTTATACGCCCGCGGACGCGCCCGGCCAGTGACCGGACAGAAGAGAGAAAGAAAACGACCCAACGGACCCCTCATATCATCCCTATACGCCCGGGTTGTCCACGAACCCTCATAGCCATCTCAAATATGTGGACGATATGAGGGCTTGCGGACGCGCCCAGGCGCGCCCGGGGATTCCGCCACATAGGACGCGACCCCATTTCGGACCACCTTTTCTCTTTCTTTATTCATTCTTTTATTTCTCTCTCTTCATCTCCACCAATCACGTACAACTGACCGGACATAAGAGAAGAAAAATGAGAAGTGTGGCTGCACGGATGGATAAATAGGGGCTCAAAACAGACACGCCCGGTCACTGACCGGGCGCGTCCATGGGCGTTTAAGGAATCATATTTTCTATGTCTAGCTATAGATGATCATAGTGACGCCTCCAAAAAGGGAAAAGACAACCACAAATGCAACCGCCACCGGCCCGGCGAAAGCCAAGCAATATTTGCATCCACGTATCGCCCATCTCCGCACCTACAGGGACTTGGCGATACCGTCCAAGTATCCACACACCGCCCCACCGCATCACCTTGTCTACGTAGCCACAAAGCCGAGGGCAGGCGACCGGCCGCATGCACGGTAAGGGGGAAAGCTTGGCCACACCACCAACTCCCAATCTAGACGGAGAACCGCAGCCACCCCACTCCTCCAGCAATGGCAAGGACCACCCGCGACAGCCGTCGCCCACTCCAAGGGACGGCCTTGTGACGACCAGACCTGCCTCACCACAAAGAACTCCCATACCAGCACCACTAGGAGGCATCGCGGCTCGCCACATCGTACAGGGGTGACCGGCCGCTCACTGCTCGCTAGAACTCCAATCTGGCCAAGCCATCTCAGCGTCGTCACCCGCTTGACTGTGGGCTCATGCCGTCGCCTCCATTCAGCACCGCCTCCATCATAAGTGCACCACCGCACCGCTGCCACACCCAGTCAGACTCGCAGCTCCACCACGCCCCCCTGCCTTGCTCCAGTCGCCTCCCTCACACCCAACCAACTTGGGGCTGGCCCGGCCCGAACCCGCCATGACGAGATGCATGGCGCCGCAAGCAGGCAGCTCACACTACCGCGACGCACCGCGATCGACCAGTGCGTTGCGCCACCCTGCTCCACCACCTGCATGCGCGCCCAACCAAGCAACGATGTGCCGGCCTCCGAGCACCGCCGCCAGATCGAAGGAAGCCCCCCGCGACCCCCACTCCAGCCGCCAGATCGAAGAAAACATGCCTGCCCATACCCTTTGGCTTCACCAGAAAACCCATCCCCTTTCCCCCAGCTGGCTATGGGCTACCATGCCAGCCATTCTCCCTCTGTCCCGTTAGAGCCGTGCGCGAGGTGACCGTGACTTAGAGATATGCTCTACGCTGCTATCTGCGCTCCCCTGTAGCTCGCAATTGAGAAGGTGTTTCCCTCTTGCTCCTTGTCCCCGGGGCATTGCTTGCCATGGTGTGGTGATCGTGGGCTCGTGGCCGCCACTTGACATAATTGTCCACCTCATCTGGTACAACTTGTTGCTTGTCGAACAGAAGTCCTAGCTACACATCCAGTCTGTGGTCCGAGGCTCGGTGACTGCGCGCACCAGGCCGCTCCCCATCAATTCCGGTGTCGTGTACCATTTGCTCCAGTCCAGCGGCGACACTAGATTGGACGATATGCTAAGCATCATCGTGTGAGCTGATGGAGATCTTTTCTAACCCGCCGAGTAGAACTACTGGTACACATCTAGTAGTATTCTTCTCCATGGGTATCGAGTCCGTGCTCTTGTTTTGTTCAGTTTTGGTTTGGAGACAACCATTCAATCTCCATGGACATCTAGAACACATTGTTTGGCCCCGGCCTGTGGGGCTCGCCTCATGCTAGTTGCTAGGTACTCGAGGCGCGCAACCCTAGCACCGACATGATGCCATCAATCTGGCGGGCTTCCGCCTCCATTTTCACGCTCTAGCTCCTTTGCGTCGATCGCATGGAGCTCGACGACCCTTCAACCCAATTCCCCCGATATTAATGAGCGCATCAACCTAGATAGGTTGTCCAATAATGCTAAACATACAAAGAGTTACACGCTAACTAGGATTTTTTCTTTCTAACTAACCGCTCTTCCTGATTTTCATGAGGGTGGGCCCTTCTACCTCCTTAATTTCGAATCAAAACTCACTAGCCTGTAAATCAGCAATGCTACACGCACGGGCCAATGACTACGGAATCAACGGACTCTGATTAGCTGGCATGGTTTAATTGGAGATTAAGGGTGAAACGGGGCCCATCCCCATGAAAATCAGGGGGTGGAGGTTAATTAGTGAGAATATTCCCGTAATCCGTCCGTGATTGTCCGTGTGTCTAGGATTTTCGCCTGTAAATCCCCCGTAACTCTTTGTATGCCTAGCATTATTCATAAATTGTCAGTCTCAAACCGATCCCCTAAAATGCTATAGAGAAGAAAAATTTCTGATTTACTTCTCTAACTTGTACCTAGCCGAACATTTAAACCATTAGAGGGGTAAAATTTTTACTCCTCCACACCGTTGATCTCGTCGCAAATATGGATTGAATCGACCAAAGCCCCAAGCTAGCTTCATGTATAGGAGTTCCCGGCGAGATACGCAAGCGCCGCTAGTTCATGTAGATCAATCAAGTTAGGTGCTTGGTAGCTTAGAGAATGCAACGGCGTGAATGGACACCATGGGCGTGGTCGCTGCTGGGCGAGGCGCTAGACATCCATGTCATCGCAGCGAGCAAGTCAACAACGCCGGTGGCGACGACGGAGGCGTAGTAGATGAGCTTGTGGCCGTCAAAGATGTCGGTTGGCGCCTTGTACAGAGCCACCGGCGTTGAGGATGACTACGATGGCGTCCTCTCCGTGGAGCAGGTCTACTCGGCACAGAGGAAGAAGGTGAAGCGCGCCTTGTCAGTTTCATCCATGGAACGACTTGTTCATCGCCATGGCGGCGGCAGTGACATCGCCAGGCGTGGAGATCCTAGAGCTGCGCGTGTCGGTGGTGAGTGAGAAGATGCTGGGGATGAGCGAGAAGGTGCCATGACCAAGGTATGTTGCGTGCTCGAGGAGCTCCGCCCCAGGTCATCACCTCTTACTCCGGCTACCGCATGCTATCCGGTGACTCTGTATCTGCTTCCGTTACGCGGGCGACGACGCATGTGACCCACAGGCATGTTAGATGTGCTCTCGTGTGTTGCTGGCGTGGTCACCATCGTCGCCGCTCGCCGAGCAGGCGCATAATAAGTGTTCGACGAAAAGTATGAGCCAAATAAAATTTCACTCCGCTAAATTTAGAAGATCGGCTAGGTGCAACCAAAACTTAGTGAAGTAAATTTACTCTATTAAGGTTTACTCGACGGTTTACTCCTCTATTTTTTAGAGGATCGGCTAGAGATGCCCTCATGCCGAACAACCTCGCTGGGATGCCATTCCTCGTTGTGGCTAATGCAGCCTATGATGCAGCAACATCACCACGCTGCTTCTAGAACATCTGCATGTAGCAACATTGGTGTTGCATTTACAACATGCAGCAGCGGTGATGCTGCGAGCCACATCAAGAACGATTGTCGATGCAACATCAATAGCGATGGGCGTCGCCCCCTTTGGGGCTCCGCCGTAGGGACATCGTCATGCAATGGTAATGATGTTATATTGCAACATTACAATGGAGACAACCCTACGTTGGTGCAACACTGACGATGTTGCATTGCAACATGCGGTAGTGGAGATGTTATGAGCAACGACCGGACCAAATGTCGACGCAGGACCAAATGTCGACGCAGCACCGACAACGATGTTGATTTCCAATATGTGGCAGCTATGTTGAATTGCAACATGCGACAGTAGTGATCTTGCATTGCAGCATGCAATAGAGGCGCTGGTGCTAGCGACGGTAGGAGCAATCGCCAATGATGTGATGTCGACGCTGCAAAGGTCACACAGTGTTGTGGGAGGTCACTTGTAATGCGACGATGCTATCTACGGGGATGGTCGCTGGTGCCGGCGTGCCGCGACCGGTGTTGTTGTGCCACGGGGAAGGTCACTGGTGCTGCGAGGGACGCCCGCCGTGGACGATGTTGTGGTGAGGAGAAATGAAGCAAATTGTTCTTCCGACGCGTGCACCGCGTGCTGTGCAATGGTGCTAAACGAGCATTTTGCGTCAACTGGTCTAATGGCTAGGCACTTCTAGGTCGGATGGATCGGGCGGCTGGGCCAGACTGACAACGAATGTTTTTCCCTCATTGTGTCCGTCCTGTGTGCTAGCATATTTTTCTTAACGTACAAATATGTTATGCAAGTATGTATGAAAAAGAACCACCAGAACAAGCAACCATGCAACTCAACTAAAGAAAAAGCAACCATGCATGGTATAAGACGATATTTTTTTTTCATTCTGTAATTTTTTAGCTATAGTAAAATCAAATCAAATAAAACATATTTTCAGTTTTAATTATTATATTATTAACCATAATATTCGTGTTCCCTACAATACTTGCAACTAGTTCCCGCAACAATGCATAAGGTATCATCTAGTTATTAGAAAAGCTTATCTTGACGTATTTTGGTTTTGAAGGACACTTTACTTTAAATATTATGAATTAACATGCAACACTTGCTCTGCACATTATAGAATTATTAGAAAGAGTAAAATACACTAGTGGTCCTAAAAATTTTTCAACGAGTCAAGTAGGTCCCAAAAGTTTGAAAACGCAAATGTAGATCCTTTATGTTTGTAAGTCGTTCATCATGGGTCCTATCTACGTCTGACCAGCCCATTTGGCCCATTGACTCACGTCACATATGCAATATTTTATCAGAACCCCCAAGTTGGCTTCTCTTTCTCACTTGTGGTCCTTTTCTTCTTCACCCGCGTGCTGCCTCCTGCTCCTCGACCAGCAACCGCTAAAGGAGTGAGTAGAGAGAGGGCACCGAGAAGCAGGTCCGTCGCCTGGGGTCGACCCCTCTTGCGTCGTTCGACTTGGCCGCCACACCATCACTGGCATGCACCTATGGTTGCCCACCTGGCGCTTCAGCTCCAGGGAGCTAGAGGTCCTGTAGATGGTCGTTGCGCGCCAACACAGCCACCCTGGAGCACGTGCACCAGCCACAGGAGCACGTTGAGCGACATGAGACTGTTTGGTGTGACGGTGGACACGAGGTCGCGGAGCGCGCCCGCGGCAACGAGCCATCAACGTAGGAGCAGGCTAGGTAGAGCGCCCTCAGACACCACGGCGTGCCGCGGGCTGTTGTTGTTCGACGTGAAATTTTGCAAGCACTCCGCCGCGTAGCACTTACTCCATGAAACCGAGCATGATGTCGTGGTCCTAACAAACAGTGTACTCCCTCCGTTTCTAAATATAAGTCTTTGTAGAGATTTCACTATAAACAATATACGGATGTATATAGTTGCATTTTAAGTATAGATTCATTCATTTTGCTTCGTATGTGGTCTAGAGTGGAATCACTCTAAACAGTGGCGGAGCCAGAAACTGAATATAGAGGGGGCCAAAACATGTCATATAATATTAGAGGGGGCCAAAACATCTAAACCTATCTAATTTTGTCTGACAAATGAAAAATTAGAAGTACATATAGGTGTATTTATGAGCACATAGGGGGGCATTGGCCCCTGCCAGCACCCCCTGCCTCCGCCACTGACTCCAAAGACTTATATTTAGAAACGGAGGGAGTATGCCGCATGCATGGTGACGAACCTCAACACACATGACGAGGAGAAAAGAAGACAAGCCACAAGTGAGAAGGAAAAGTCTACCACGAGGGTCTTGGCAAAATATTGCCTATGTGGCGTGAGTCAACAGGATACGTGGACTAGTGCCGCGGATAGGATCGACCCGCTGTGGACGACTTACACACATATATAACGTTTTTAAACTTTTAGAAGCTACTTGACACACCTCGGATACTTCTTGGATCGTGGGTATATTGTATTTCCTCTGTCCCAAAATTCTTGTCTTAGTTTTGTCTAAATACGGATGTACCTAATACTAAAACGTGACTTGATACATCCGTATTGAGATAAATCTAAGACAAGAATTTTGAGACGGAGGGAGTACTCTATTAGAAATCAGCATTCCTTTCCTGAAAAAAAAAAGTAGTGTAAGTTTGGTTCAAGACATCTCATATACACTTTCTTCGTCCAGTATGTAACAGGTTGCTCGTCCGAGTGCACTCCATACTATTCCCCTCAGAATGACACATGTGATGGTGCCGGCTGTTGTCAAGTCGATGTCCCAAAAAACGTACCGGATTATTATGGCTATTTCAACAACAACACCTCAGAAACATGGACAGACAGTCCTTGCAGCTACGTGTTACTGGTGGACAAGGCGGCCTTCAGTTTCAAAACCACCTATGTCAAATCCAAACTGTTGGAAGAGACGTACAAAGGTGGAGTTCCTGTTGTGCTGAACTGGCGAATAGAAGCGTCGAATTGCGAGCAAGCTAAGAAGAACACGACTTCATATGCATGTGTTAGCAGCAACAGTATGTGTGTGGATTCCACCACCATGAAGCAAGGTTACCGCTGCAATTGCTCCAATGGGTACAAAGGCAACCCATATATCACGAACGGATGTCAAGGTGACTTCCCTTTTGCTGCCTTGTATGCATTTGACATGAATTCTCGTGTACCTTAATTGATTTACGAGTCACCTGTACGAGCCGCTTGGCAACATGAACTGAATTGTTTTGTTCCAGATATTGACGAGTGCCTTGAAAATGCTAATATCTGCGGCTCTGGAATCTGCGAGAACATGTCAGGGCATTACACCTGCTCATGTCATGGAGGGAAAGATTGGACGGATGGCACTTGTCAATCCCGTTTTTCGGCGATGCCTGTTGTAGGTGAGTTCTCCTCTTTGTGAGCACAATATACACATGTTGCATATGAACGATTAATTGGACATCTGTAGGGCACCTACGAACTTTATACCATGATAGTCCACCGGTAGTGTGTTGTTCAACAACAACCAGTGTTTAGCAAACTTTATCTTAGCCTACCAAACTCATCTACCAGTACTTTTCTTTCTCCTCAAACAAAGTACTTTAAGTTGTCACTGCCCAAAGAAATTACATAAATTGAACAGATGCATTATAGCTCTACGTGGATGGATAATGCAGGTGCAACTGTTGGACTAGTCGTCTTTGTGATTGCTATAGCATGTGCATGCATGCTCCAAGAGAGAAGAAAGCTACACAAGATGAAGCGGGACTACTTTCGGCAGCACGGTGGTCTGATATTATTTGATGAGATGAGGTCAAAGCAAGGTATTACATTCAAGATCTTCACGGAAGAAGAACTGCAGCAAGCCACAAACAAGTTCAGCGAACAACAAGTACTAGGTCAAGGGGGCTATGGGACAGTGTACAAGGGGCTTCTTAAGGGCGACGTGGAAATAGCTGTCAAGAGATGCAAGACGGTTGATGAGCAACAGAAGAAAGAATTCGGAAAAGAGATGTTAATCCTGTCCCAGGTCAACCATAGAAACATTGTGAAGCTCCTCGGGTGTTGCCTCGAAGTGGAAGTCCCTATGCTGGTATACGAGTTCGTCCCAAACGGCACCCTCTTCCAGCTCATACACGGTAACCATGGCATGTGTATCCCCTTGTCTACTCGCTTGGTAATCGCCCACGAGTCCGCGGACGCGCTCGCCTACCTTCACTCATCGACTTCGACGCCGATCCTCCACGGGGATGTCAAGTCCTCCAACATTCTTCTTGACACGGACAACCAAGCTAAAGTGTCTGACTTTGGCGCCTCCATCCTGGCACCAACTGATAAGTCACAATTCATCACACTTGTACATGGTACATGCGGGTACCTCGACCCAGAGTACATGCAAACCAACCTGCTGACGGACAAAAGCGACGTGTATAGCTTTGGGGTTGTTTTGTTGGAGCTACTCACGGCCAAGTTGCCATTTAATTTCAATCCGGATGTCCCTGCCCACGAGAAGAGCCTGTCGATGATGTTTATGTATGCCATGAAGGAGAATAAGCTCGACCAGATCTTGGATGTTGAGATCAAGGATGGGGATAACACAGAGATTATTGAAGAGATCGCGGAGCTAGCGGTGCGATGCTTAGAGATGTGTGGTGACAATAGGCCATCGATGAAGGAAGTTGCGGAGAAACTTGATAGTCTGAGGAAGGTGATGCAACATTCATGGGTGCAGCGGAACCCTGAAGAGACAGAATGCCTACTTGGGGAGTTCTCATCGATGGCCAGCTCGACAATAACTAGTGTTGAATATTTCAGCATCGAGAAGAAAGTTGTTAACGGTCTGCAGTCTGGTCGTTAAGTAATCACGCTAGTGCTTTCATTTGTTTATTTTGTATTCCACAGCAAAAAATCAGTTCCATCATAAAATTAAATAAATTGCCTATTGTTGTAGCTACCTTTATGTTACTGTTTGTTTTGCCAATTATACATGTATAAATTTTGGTGTTTATACGGTTATGTATCTTCTGAAAAAATGCAGATATATGTGAGTTATTATTTCGTAAATTTTGCATAGTTCGTTTTTAAAATTTGGTTTAGTGTGGTAAATGATTGACACGTCCTCCAAATCTTTGTATTTGATTACCATTCTTTCGCCAAAAAAAGCTATGATTAGTCAAAAGCATGGTATCATGCATAACCCAATTCAGGCTACTGGACTTCTACATGAGCCTTTTTCTTTTCGGCGGGGAAGACACAGGTGCGGCTATGTCTCGCTTCTAGCAAGACAAACCTTCCGCTTGCCAGAAATGACGTGCTAATTGGCCGGCTCAGTGGAACTGTTCGCTTGATCGTTTTTCCTTCCTTCACTTGATTAGTTTTTTTCTACTTTTTTTTCTATTTTTTTACCTTTTTATATTTTAAAAAATTCTAAATTACACACATTTTAAGAAAATTACTTAAGTTTGAAAAAATGATTGTGCAATGTTCAAAAATGTTGATAGATTTTTAAAAATGTTTCAACACTTATTTGAAAAAACTGTTTAACTAATATTCGAGGAACAATGTTCAAAAACATGTGTTTTGGAAACAGTTAATTATATATTTGAAAATGTAAAACATATACAAGGTAAATGTTTCAGTTGTATATAAAAAATGTCGACCATGTATTAAAAACATGTTAATCTTCTATTTAAAAAATGTCAATCAAGCATTTGAAAAATGATAAAAAAAATATATAGAAAAAAATGACTGTGTATTCAAAATATGTTAAACATGTATTAGAGAAATGTTCTTGATGTATACAAAATATGTAGAATGAAAAACAAAAGAAACAAAGAAAAAACCCCAATGAAAATGAAGAAATAAAGAAAACCAAATAAAAAAATAACATGAAAAACAAAACCAAAGAAACCAGTGCAAAAGAGTGGAGAACAATGAATATCGATAAAGAAACAAAGAAAAACAAAAGAAACCTTTTAATATCAAGAAAGAAAAAAACAAAGGAAAAAGGGAATGAGTATGAAAAGGAAAATCGAGGAAAACCCTGAAAGAAACAAAGAAAATGTAACCATGTATTGAGAAAATGTAAAAAGTATATGAAAAATGTTCCAGTTGTATACAGAAAATGTTGAATCTGTACAAAAAAAAAACATGTGGTGAACAAAAAAGAAGCCGATGAAAATTGACAAAAAGCACAGGAAAGATAAGAAAACCAATTAAAATAAAAAATAAAGTAAAAATAAAAAAATAACAAAGCAAAAGAATGAAGTTGGGAAGGAAACAAAGAAAAATGAAGAAAACCAAGAATAGAAACAGAACAATAAGGAAAAACAAAGAAAGAAAGTCAACAAATAAAAAGTGGGTGTGTCTAGGACTCAGTCGACTGAGACTTTGTGAAGTCTAAGTCGACTGACGTCACCTATAGCAGATTTGGCCCGTTTTGTCTCCCTCCTTAGTAGGTTCTAATTCCCCTGTTATGGGCTTGAGTTCTGGGCTTTTTTTTTCGTTTGTCTGTTCATTTTCTTGTTTACACTGTTTGCTTGTTCGTCTATTTTGTCAAGAGAAAATAAAAACTACACCCCAGAACAAAGATAACGAAAAAGCCCATCTGAAGGTAAACGACAAGAAAATCATTTCGTTCCCTTGCTTCTTCTTCGTTTCTTCTTATTTTTGTCAAAAGGATTCTCATTCAATTTGTTGCATGCACAAGTCAGCTTGCTCTGTGTGTGTCACTTTGGTTAGAGTTGGGTTCAGTTAGTGAAATCCCACGGACATGTCTAGCTCACACACTCTGCACGTGCGTGCTGTCGACATACCCCAGAAACACTTCAGTCAATTGAGGAGAATGTGCTCCGTAAGCTCCTCTTACAAAATCAATTCGCTCAGTTCTTTAGTTAAACAAAAACAGAGTTGCGGTGCTCGGGAACAAGGCGGCTACTTCAAAAAAATTATGGAACACAAGCTACTTAAAAAAAAAGGCCACTTCATCTTTGATTAGAAACATGGAAAATTGGCCAAGAAAATGGGGAATCCTCCATTTCGGAGCAACCGGAAATTGGGCTCTGCTCGAGCAAAAAAAAAACATGGGCAGAACAAAAATAATCGTTGGCCCCTCGGTCGCTAATCTGAAATTTGGGCTAGTCTCTTGCACTGGGACCTCTCTGTGAATGGTAATTTTGAGACAAATAGGTGGAGAAAAAAATTGACTCGTAGTGGTGTTGGATTTCGGAGCGCAAACACGACGACGGGGATTGATATACATGGATGGGTAGGTAGCTTATGCTGCTCGCAGCGCAGGGTGCGAGCAGCCTGAAGTCACGCCTGCGTGGCCGTGGATATCGATGTCGATGACCTACGTCATAGACACCTTCGTGGTACGGTCACCCGTGTTCGACCTTCTCTCTCTCTCTCTCTCCCTCCCTATATCTGAATTCAAACAATGACGGTTGGATATTTCTAGGAGAACGCTAGAAGACGTTGAGGGTTGGGGCCACATTCCAGCGACTTGAGAAAAATGAAAAACAAAAAGTAAAAAAGAAAAATGCAAAAAGAAAGCTTAAAATATAAGCAAAAAAGGTACCCCCTTATAAAAATATAAAACATTTTAGGTCACTATTTAATTTATTTAAAATGTTTAAAGAAAAAACTCTATATTGCACTCGGCCATGACTCCTTAATTCATGGCTAACTTGGTTTGCATGAGAGGAAACTTGAACTCTTAATTTAATTTAAATAACCAAATGAAAAAAATGAAATACCAAAAACTGGGAACTAAACATTTTCATTTTTCAAAAAAGAAATGAAGGTCTTCATGAGGAAAAACTCTTAAAATATTTTTTTGTTGACCCTAACCAAAAAAAGACCAGTTGCAACCATGTTGGAAGACATGCAGTTGCACTCCGGGGGGGGGGGGGCACTTGCAGTTGCATGCTTAGTATATAAACACACAACTGCTCAGCATCTCCGGTCGCCCCTCCGAAAAAATAAAGTTCAGTTACAGTCAGGGCAATACTTACAGTTGCATGCCTAGTGTACACATATAAACGCCCCCTCCCCACGCCACCCTTTCGACAAAATAAAGTTTAGTTCATAGACATGCAATTGCAGTGAGGGGCGATACTTGCAGTTGCATGCCTAGTGTACACATGCAATTGCCCCGGGTTCTCCCGCCACCCCTCCAACAAAACAAAGTCTAGTTGTGTCATACTGGAAGACATGCAGTCGTAGTCAGGGGCCATGCGTGCAGTTACAAGCATAATGTACACATGAAGTTGTACCCACTCTCCTGATGCCTTCGACAAAACAAAAGTCTAGTTACAACTATGTTGTACGACATGCAGTTGCAGTCGAGGGCGACACTTGCAGATGCATGCCTATCGTACACATGAAACTGCCCCTGCCTCTCCCGTCGCCCCACCAACAAAACAAAGCCCAGTTGCATCGTGTTTGGAGACATGCAACTACAGTCGAGGAAGACGCTTGAAGTTGCAAGAGCCTAGTATTACACATGCAATTGCCCCTTCCTAAGAAAGCACCACATAGTTGTAATTGACTTGAAGACATGCAATTGCAGCTAGGGACGATAAATGCAGTTGCAGGTCTAGTGACAGACTTGCAACTAGCCGTCCCAACAAAAATACCACGGAGTTATAGTCGCATTGAAGACATGCAGTTGCAGTTGGGGTGGCACTTGCAGCTGAATGCCTAGTAGCAAGCATGCACTGCCCCCTTACCTGACAAAAACATCACATAGTTGTATTCGAATTGAAGACATGCAGTTGCAATTGGAAACGACACTTACAGTTGCATGCCTAGTGACAGACATGAAACTGTTCCTCCCGACAAAACTCTACAGAGTTGCAGTACCATTGAAGACATGTAATTGCAGTCAGGGCGACACTTGAAGTTGTGTATTGGTGGCAGACATGGAACTACCCCTCCCCTGACAAACACTACCAAGTTGTAGTTGCACCGTAGACATGCAGTTGCAGTCACGTAAAACACATGTAGTTGCAGTAGGGGGCGAAAGTTGCAGTTGCGTGTTGGTGGCAGACATGCAACTATGGCCCTCCTAGACAAACATCACTAAGTTGAAGTCGTGTTGAAGATATGCAATTGTAGTGGGAGGCGACACTTGCAGTTGCATGTTGGTGGCAGATATGCAACTGCCCCTCCCTCGACAAAGACCACAAAATTACAATCACGTTGAAGACATGCAATTACAGCCAGGGTCAACACTGCAGTTGCGTGTTGGTGGCAAACATGCAACCGCTTCCTCCCCGTGACAAAACACCACCCAGTTGCAATTATGTTGAAGACATGAAGTTGCGGTAGTTAGTGACACTTGCAGTTGCGTGCCTAATGACAGAAATGCAATTGCCCACACTTGCAGTCATTTTTCTTTTGTAGGGAGCCCACACTTGGAGTCTCTTTTTTTGCGAGGAGCCCACACTTATAGTCGTCGTATAAAATTAAAAAATTGGAAAATGAGATATATCTTACACATGAGAGTCGCATGTGGATTGCATGCAGATGGTACATGTGTGCATAGCAAAAATGAAAAAACCAATACAGGAAAAAGATAAAAACTAGATATGTGCAACTATATTACAAAACTAGTTATATTGAATAAGTTTTAAAAAAAAAGAGTTTTAGACGGACGACGAACACCAACGAGTGTACAACTACAATTACACGCAAAGAGAAATAAAAAAATATACGTGTTACATTAAAAGGTTTTCTATTCATTATAAAACTTGTAATTTTAGAAGAACAATTATTTATATGAAAAATGTTTATATAATTTTAAAATCATTCATGTATTTACAAAAATCCTTTAGAAAAGAAGAAGTGGGAAAA